GGGTGGCACTCTCCATAGCTGTAGGACTACTTGAGGTAGTGACAATAGCTTCATTGTGGAATGTAAATGTGTTTGTGTGTGTATGGGATGATATGTACAAGATAATGTTGAGTGAAATAAATGAGGTCATAGTTGAGCGAGTATATGATTTTATTTAAAGTTTGATCTGCAATGTATCCTTTTGTGTATAAAGAGACTTCTGGAAGGATGGTCACTAAATGTTAACAGTGGTAGGATAAAGGCAATTTTACTTTTAAGTAGAGTTTGAAATTTTTACGCTACACAGATCTTAGAAAAGAGTTATTTTAAGATTTTTTTTAAAAATTGGAAATGCTATCAAATTTACAGAAAAGTTGCAAAGAATTTCCCCCTTGAATTATTTGAGATTAAGTTGCTGATAGGATGTTCCTGATCCATTGAATGCTTTGGTTGTGTTTCCTGTAAACTAGGATATTCTCCTATATAAATAACAACAGTACAGCTATTAAAATCAGAATATTAACAGTGATACATTACTACCATGTAATTCTCAGACCTCATTCAAGTTTTGCTGATTATCCCAGTAATTTCTTTCATTAAAAGGATTTCGTTCAGAGGCATACATTTAGTGGTTAAGTCTGTTTTGTGTCCTTCCATCTGGTACAGTTCCTTAGCTTTTCCTTGACTTTCATGACTTTGACACTTTGGAAGATTCAGACCAGTTATTCTATGAATGTCTGTCAACTTAGGTTTGTTTTGATGTATCCTCATAATTAGATTCAGATCTTACATATATCACAGAAGTAATGCTTTATTCTTGTTGCATTCTATCAGGTGGCCCATGATTTTTATTTGTCCCATCACTGATGATAATCACTTTGATCACTCATTAAGGTTGTATCTCCTAGGTTTGTCCACTATAAAATTATTTCCCCGTCTTTGTAATTAGTAAATATTAGATAGTGAGAAGCTTTGAAACCATGCAAATATTCCCTTACTCAACAACTTTCAATTTATTCATTTGTTTATTAATGTCACTATGGAGTCATGGTTTCCTATTTTATATAGTGAGTTATATTCTGTTACTATCATAATTCTTTTAACTTTCTACTTTGAGATAATTCTAAACATATGGAAAAGTTATGAGAAAGATTCAAAGATTAATTGAACTTTTATCAGATTCCTCAAATGGTAATATTTTATTACATTTGTTTTACCTTTCTCGATACTTATACATATGTCTCTCTCTGTATATGTCTATTTATATGTCACACACATGTAAATTTTAGAAAACTATTTGGAAGTCAGTTACAAACATGATGTCCCTTGTAAATACTTCAGTGTGTATATCTTAATTACAGAAATAATTTTTTTATAACTGCAGTTCAGTTAACAAAATCAGGAAATTAACATTGAAATAACATAATTTTTTAATTTATAAACTTAATTCAAATTTCACTAGTTACTCCAATAATACCCTTTATAGCAAAAGAAAATTCTGAGTCATGCATTACATACAGTTGATATGTCTCTTTAGTGTCCTTTATTCTGTAACAGTTCTTCAGTTTTTCTTGTGTTTCATGACATTGATATTTTTTAGGAGTATAGACTTATTCTTTAGAAAAAGTCTAAATTTGGGTTTATCTGAGCTTTCCTCATGAATAGATTTAGGTTATACCCTTTTCCAGGAATGTTACAGAACTGATTTGTGTTCTTAGTACAGCACATCAGGAGGCTCATAATGCTGATTTGTTTTACAACTGCTGATGGTAGTTAGCTTTGATCACTTGGTTAAGGTGGTTTCTGCCAGGTTTTATTTTAAAATTAGGAAGGCACTATTATTTAGAAGAAGATTTTAAAAGAAAAGTATTCAAACAAACATCTTGTTTTTAAATTTCATTTTAAATATTTGATTATTTTAATTTCTTGAAAAATGTATGGTAGCCTGTTTTCTAGAAAGAGTATATCACAGTTTATTATCAGAAATGTACATTCATATATTTTTCTTTAAACTCTTTTGATGAGTTACTTTTATCTGATAGTGTACTTTTCCCAACACTGGTGCCCGTATCATGATGTTCATTGGTGGTCCAGCCACTCAGGGGCCAGGAATGGTGGTCGGAGATGAATTGAAGACACCTATAAGATCATGGCATGATATTGAAAAAGACAATGCCAAATATGTTAAAAAGGGAACTAAGGTAATTTTGTTTTTTATTCTTTATGACTTATTAGAAAAATTTACTTGGTAAAAGAGGAAGAGTATGGGGGGAGTGGGGGATAAGGACACATAAGTAATACCTTAATAAAAAAAAACACTAAAAAAAAGAGGAAGAGTACAAATATTTTATGATAAATCTGATATTGTGAAATCTGATACTGTAACTACTGTTCAGAATTGGAGAAATAGTCTTTCTTTCTTGATAACATGTTATAATTATTCTAGTTTTAAATGTTTAAAAATTTAATAGTATGCACCACTAGGTACCTCTTTAAAGATTACTCCTGAGAGAAACTCTGTGTGTGAGGCTTTTTTTTGTTTTGAGAGAGAGAAACATCAATGTGAAAGCAAGTCATTTTTTTTTTTTTTAAAATATATTTTATTGATTTTTTTACAGAGATGAAGGGAGAGAGATAGAGAGTTAGAAACATCGATGAGAGAGAAACATCGATCAGCTGCCTCCTGCACATCTCCTACTGGGGATGTGCCTGCAACCCAGGTACATGCCCTTGACCGGAATTGAACCTGGGACCTTTCAGTCCGCAGGCTGACGCTCTATCCACTGAGCCAAACCGGTTTTGGCGAAAGCAAGTCATTGATAGGCTGCTTCCTGCGTGCCTCCTACCAGGGATCCAGCTCCTACCTGGACATGTGTCCTGACCAGGAATTGAACCGGCAACTTTTTGGTGCACAGGACGACACCGAATCGACTGAGCCACACATATGTGACTTTTATAATATTCATGTTAAGGAATGTCTCTCCAGGAAAAATTTCTTGCATTTTAAAATTTTTTATTTCCAAGAGGCTGTACTTTAGATATGTATACTTTTCATTGCTTGAACAGTCTATCATTTTTTTTGGGTTATTTTCTGTTCATGTAACTTCAGTTTTACTTGTAAATGTGCCAGTACTTTTTTCACTAATGTTGATTTTTGACTCCCTTGTATTGGTTTTGCTTGTTAATGTCCCCCTTTTATTATTATTAATTTATTTATTTTTGCTAATCCTCACCTAAGGATTTTTTTCCCCATTAATTTGTAGAGAGTGTGGAAGGGGGCAGGGAGGAAGAGAGAGAGAGAGAGAGATGAGAGAGAGAGAGAGAGAGAGAGAGAGAGAGAGAGAGAGAGAAACATTGATGTGAAAGAGACACATCAGTTGGTTGTCTCCTGATAGGGGCTGGGGATCAAACCTGCAACCCAGGTATGTGTCCTTAATCAGAATTGATCCCTTGACTCTTCTGTGCATGGGCTGACACTCTAACCACTTAGTAACTGGCCAGGGCTAATGTCCTTCCTTTAAAAAAAATTCTCTAGAGTTTGTAATTTTAATTTAAGTTGTACTATATTGTATCATATGTCCTTTTTGGTAGTCATTATTTATCATATATATTTTTTATTACGTTTTTATTGATTTTAGAGTTAGAGGAAGAGAGGGGATAGAAAGGTAGAAACATTGATGAGAGAGAAACCTCATCAATTGGCTGCCTTCTGCACACCCCACCCTCTCCCCCACTGGAGATTAAGCCCGAAACCCAGGCATGTGCCCTCACTGGGAATTGAACCAATGACCTCTTGGTTCATGGGTCGATGCTCAACCACTGACCCATACCGGCCAGGCTATTTATCATATAATTTTAAGTGTAACTAATAACAAATATTTTTTGTCACTATAAATGCTTTTTTCCCCTGCCATTTAATTTTCCTTTTGTGCTTGGAATTTTTCTTAGAACTTCAAAAAAAATGTTTTATGTTTGTTTATCTTACTGCTTTTTTATTGTCTATTTTGATGTTTTTGTTACTTGGCTTGTGGATTTAGCCAGGAAAAAGAGTTCTGTGCTGTTCTTCTACCATTTTTATGTATAAAGAGCAAATTGTTTGGTGTGCCTTTCTTTAACTTTAGCCTAATTTAGGAGTTTATAATAGTCCTCCCTTATTCGTGGTTTCACATTCTGCAGCTTCAGTTACTTATGTTCAGCTGCAGTCCGAAAATATTAAATGGAAAATTCCAGAATAAATAATTCATAACTTTTAAATTGCTCACTGTTCTGAATTATTCTGTTGGGACAGAATAATCCCTGAACATGAATAATCCCTTTTCCCAGATGGTAGATGTTACCTGCCCAGGAGTCACTTAGTAACCATTTCTGTCATGGTATCCTAGTTCTTGTGTTCAAATCTGTCACGATCCTAGTACTTGTGTTCAACTTTTACTTAATAATGACCTCAAAGCACAAGAGTAGTGATGATGGCAATTTGAATATGCCAAAGAGAAGCAATAAAATACTTCCTTTAATTGAAAAGGAATGTTTGTATGTATAGGAAAGAACATAGTACATATGAGATTCAGCACTATCCGTGGTTTCAGGCATCCACTGGAGGTCTTGGAACATGGATAAGTGGAGACCACTGTATTTAAATAGAATGGTTTTAAAAAATACATATGTTGTTATTGATAGTAGAGGGAGAGGTAGAATTAGGCAGGGAGGGAGGGAGGAAGGGAGTGAGTGTGTGTGTGTATGTGTGTGAGAGAGAAACATCCATGTGAGAGAAAAACATTGATCAGTTGCTTTCCGTACATACCCTGACCCGGGATGGAATTCCCAACCTGGGTATATGCCCTGACCGGGAATTGAGCCAGCAACCTTCTGCCCTGACTGGGAATTGAACAGGTGACCTTCTGGTGCATCGGACAGCATTCAACTGACTGAGTCAACTGGGGAGAATGGCTTTTAAAGAAGAATGTGAAAGTAGCATATTTATAGAAGTTATCATATTATTTTATAACACATTATAGAAAATTAAGTTATAACACATTGCATTAAAATTATTGTGGATTTTTCTTTTAGTATTTCTTAGGTTATTTTACTCTATTAATGGGGAAAAGAATTATAGGATGATTAGTTTATACATTAATGTTATGTGATTAAAAAAATCTTTTGTAGCATTTTGAAGCATTGGCTAATCGAGCTGCCACGACTGGTCACGTTATTGATATTTATGCATGCGCATTAGATCAGACAGGTCTCCTGGAGATGAAATGCTGTCCCAACCTTACTGGGTATGTATTTAAATTTTTATAATTTTTGTAGTTATAAACTAATAATGAGACTTTACAAATATAAACCAGCAATGACAGTTTATGAAAAAATTCAGTCATCATCTTCTTACTCCAGGGCAATAGATGTTAACAGTTTTTGATACTTCTTTTACTTAAAATTTTTTCTAAAATATACTTATAAAGGCACATTTTTAAAAATAATTCTTTATTTTTGAAAGTATTACATATGTGTGCCTCCCTTTTTAAAAAATGTATTTTTATTGATTTCAGGAAGGGAGGGAGGAGAGAGATAGAAACATCAATGATGAGGGAGAATCATTGGGTGCCTCCTACACGCCCCACACTGGGGATCAAGCCTGCAATCCAGGCATGTGCTCTGAAGGGGACTCAAACTGTGACCTGCTGATTCATAGGTTGTTGCTCAACCACTGAACTATGCTTAGATTTTTTTAAAAAATATATTTTATTGATTTTTTACAGAGAAGAAGGGAGAGGGATAGAGAGTTAGAAACATCGATGAGAGAGAAACATCGATTAGCTGCTGCCTGCACGCCCCCCACTGGGGATGTGCCCGCAACCAAGGTACATGCCCTTGACCGGAATCGAACCTGGGACCCTTGAGTCCACATGCTGACGCTCTATCCACTGAGCCAAACCGGTTCGGCTATACTTAGATTTTTTGAAATATAATTCACATACCATAAAATTACTCATTTAAGTATACAATTTAATGTTTTTTTTTGTGTGTGTGTGTTTTTACTATAGTTACACATTGAGCAACCATGACCATAATTTAATTCTAGAATACCTGCATTACCCCAGAAAGAAACTCTGTACCCATTAGCAGTCACTCCCCATTCTTCCTTTCTTTCCCTCTTCCTTCCCTTCTCAGCCTAGACCAGCCGTGGGCAAACTACGGCCCGCGGGCCGGATCCGGCCCGTTTGAAATGAATAAAACTAAAAAACAAAAAGACCGCACCCTTTTATGTAATGATGTTTACTTTGAATTTATATTAATTCACACAAACACTCCATCCATGCTTTTGTTCCGGCTCTCCGGTCCAGTTGAAGAACCCATTGTGGCCCCTGAGTCAAAAAGTTTGCCCACCCTTGGCCTAGACAATCACTGATTTTTCTGCCTCTTTGTATTTGCCTATTCTTGATCTTAGTGGGAAACCGTGTAATCTTTCACCATTCAGTATGATGTTAGCTATGGGTTTTTGTAAATGCTTGTATTAAGTGAAAACTTTCCCATCTAATCCTGTGTTGAAATTTGTTTTCAGGAAAGGGTGATGGATTTTATTAAATGCTTTTTCTACATCTATGGAGATGGTCACATGTTTTTTGTTTTTATTCTATTTATATGGTGTATTACAGTGGTTTTATTTTTTGTATATTAAACCAACCTTGCATTCCTAGGATAAATCTAAATTGTGAATAATTCTTTTTATGTATTGCCAGATTTGATTTGTTAAGTATGTTATTGAGGATTTTTGCATCTGTTTCCATAAGGGATCTATCTTGATTTGTAGTTTCTTTCTTATGATATCTTTGTTGTTGGTATCAGGGTAATACAGGCCTTATTGAATGAGTTAGGAAGTGTTTCTCTTCTGTTTGCAGGCAGCCATTACATGTTTTTGGGATAATTTAATTAGGTGTTAAAAACTCAAGCTTGTCAACTCATTTTTCAGGTTTATTTATTTAATGCATCCATCTAATAAATATTCATGAAAACATAATGTGTGTCGAACTGTTTAAGGTACTGCAGATACAGCAGTGAACCAGACAGGAAAATCTGCCCTCATGGAGCTTACCTTCTATTGCAGGACTGTTCAGCGTAATTTTTTATTGGACATATTCTCTGCATTGTTCCATTGAAATGTGGCAAGTGTGACTGAGGAACTGAGTTTTTTTGTTTTGTTTTTTTAAAAATATATTTTATTGATTTTTCACAGAGAGGAAGGGAGAGAGATAGTCAGAAACATCGATGAGAGAGAAACATCGATCAGCTGCCTCCTGCACATCTCCCACGGGAGATTGCCCGCAACCCAGGTACATGCCCTTGACTGGAATCGAACCCGGGACCCTTCAGTCCGCAGGCCGACGCTCTATCCACTGAGCCAAACCGGTTTCGGCGGAACTGAGTTTTTAATTTTAGTTAATCTACATTTTAATTTAATTAGTCACATGTGTGATGCACAGTTCTAGTAAGAGGAGATGAGACAAGTGAAGTAGATAGTATGTCAGATGGTGATAATTGTTAGGGAGAAAAATAACTCAGGAAATGAGGGTAGGGGTTTGCAGTTCTAAATAGGGAAGAAGGAATGACCTCAATGAAGGTGATGGTTTAGCAAAGACTTAAGGAAGTATGAAAGTGAGCCATGTGCATATATGAAGGAAGAGTGTTTTGAACATAGGGAATAGGAAGTGCAAAGTTGAAAACATACCTGGGGTGTTTGAGAAATAACAAGGGTAAGTGAGGGGGGTCAGATTGTGAGGGTCCTTGACTAATATTAGGACTTTGGATTTTACTTTGAGTTAGGAAGTCATTGGAGAGTTTTTAGCAGAGTGGTGTGATCTGACTTACTGTTTTAAAAGGGTCATCTGACTTCAGTTGCCTTCAGTAAGAGTCCAGCAGGTCCTCTGATAACATTTTGTTTCATTATAACTAGAAATGTGGTGCACAAAATTCGTGCATGGGTAGGGTCCCTATGCCTGGCCAGCAATCAGGGCCGATCGGGGCCTTCCTTCCCCTTGCTGCTGGCCGGGGCATTCCTTCCCCTGGCTGCTGGCTGCTGGCTGCTGGCCCGGGCCTTCCTTCTTCCAGCTGCCAGCTGCCAGCTGGGGCCTTCCTTGGTTCTGCGCTTCCCCCTGGTTGTCAGCGCACGTCATAGCGAGTGGTCAGACTCCTGGTCGGTCGAACTACCGAGGGGACAATTTGCCTATTAGCCTTTTATTATATAAAGATTGGTGAGGAAAAAAATTTGATTCCTGGCTGGGATCACTGTGGAGTTTGCATGTTCTCCCCATGTCTGCATGGTTTTTCTCCAGGGACTCCAGTGTCCTCCCATATCCCAAAGATGTTCAGTGAATTGGCATGACTAAATATCCCAGACTGAGTGAGTGAGTGAGTGAGTGAGTGAGTGAGTGTGTGTGTGTGTGTGTGTGTGTGAATGTATGCTGCAATGGGAGGGCTTCCTGCCTAGGGTGGTGTCTGCCTTATACTTGAGCTGCTATCATATGCTCCAGCCACTCTCGACCCTGAACTGGAATAAGTAGGTTGGAAAAAAATGATCTTCCTCGTTTTTATTAATCTTCCTTAAATGTATGCATAACTCACATTTATTTCCATGCTTAACATTATAAGTGTTTTGGGTTTTTATTTAGAAGTTTGATGATCTTTTTGTGATCAGGAATATGCCATAGGAACTTAACTTGTGTTTATATCAATTAGCCTGTGGTAAAATTGGTTTGTTATAGGTTATTTTGCTTATAATTTCAGTTTCCAAGGATGAGGTCTTACTGTATAGAAATACAGGAATAACAGGTGGTAGCATGACAGGTGGTGAGAAGTGGTTGGATTTTGAATATATTTAGAAGGTAGAGGATTTGCTGATAAATTGCATCTGGGGCTTGAGAAAACCAAAGGAGTTTACTGGAAGGATTGGGTTGCCCTTTATTGAAATGGATAAGACTGTGGAAGGAAGAATATCTGGGGAAAAGTTTGGTGGTTCATTTTTGAACATGTTTGGTTTAAGTTTCCAGTAGACATACATGAGGGAGATGAGATGTCCAGTAGGCACTAAGATATAATGTACAACCTAGAATGCAGGAGATAGGTTTGGGCCGGAAGTTTGAATATGGGAGTTGTCAGAATATTAGTGATTTTTTTTAAACTATAAAAATGGTTGAGATTGTAAAATTGTGAAATACAATACTGTAAAGGTCATGGTAACCTTCCTAAGGGTAGTGAAAATTGACTTAGAGTGAATTAGAAAAAGAACAGGCAGAGGGGATTGGAGGCAGCTGTTATAGACCAGAACTTCCCAAACTTTCATGTGCACAGATCAGCTGGGTACCTTGTTAAAATATAGATTCTGGGGTTAGTATGCCTAGTCTTGAAATTCTACTTTTCAAGCAAGATCCTTGGTGATGCCAATGTTGCTTGAGCAAGAGCCACAGTGAGTAGTAAGGGTATAGAGAGGTTTGCTGTTAAAGGAAGCAGATAAGTGGGGCCGTGTAAATTGTCATTAATCTAGAATGCATTATCAAGTTTAGTGATAATACAGATAGTCATAGATTGACGTTTGTAAAACTAGAAAATTTGAAATAATCTATATACAAACTATGTACAAACTTTTAAAATTAATATGTTAAGTTGTCAAGACTTCTAGGTCAAGGTCAGTGTCAAAATTCAACTATATTTTTATACTAGAGGCCTGATGCACAAAATTCTTGCAAGAGTAGGCCTTCCTTCCCCCAGCTGCCGGCACCGGCTTTCCTCTGACACCAAGGACCTGGGCTTCCCTTTGGCCGCCAGCAGGCACCCAGGACCTGGGCTTCCCTTGCAGCCTCGGTTTCGTCCAGAAGGTCGTCTGGAAGGACATCCGAAGGATGTCTGGTCTAATTAGCATATTATGCTTTTATTCTTACAGATACCAGTAACATAAGGAAAATAAAATTTAAAAAGATGCAATCTATACTGGTATCAGAGCATAAATCAAGACTTTAACATTATCAAAAGTAAAATTACTATTAATTATAGCACATCAGTTTTATTTTCACCTATTTAATTTTTTGTTTAAAACTACTTAGTGTCTTTAAAATAGCAAATATATGTGAATATTTGTGTGCATCTGTGTATGTCAGTGTTTGTATCCCCCTTTTTATATAAATAGAAAATCTACACATCTTCCCCCACTTTTCACTTATATATTAGAAATTGTCCTATAGCAGTGCATAACTCCATTGTGTGGATGTGCCATATTTTATTCAACTGGTCTCTTAATAAATGGAAATCTGGATTGTTTCCAATATTCTATTATTACAAAAAGTGCTTCAGTGAATAGCCTTACGTGTATACTTTGCTTTTTTATTTTTTATTTTTGCCAGAATATTTGTGGGATAGATTTCTAATAATGGGGTGGCTGGATTAAAGAGAAACTACATATCACATGTAATTTTGTTCAATATTGTCAGGTTCTTCTGTATTGCACACTTTTTATTCCATCAGCAATGTATGAGAGTGCTGGTTTTTCCACAGCATTTTCAACAGAATACATTGTCAAACTGTGACTTTTTTCTGATTAGAGAAGAATCTTGGAATGGTTTTTGACAGTTATTGTTTCTTAAAACTATAAAAAGTTAGGATCAACAGTACATTAGTACATAAAATGAAAATGGTTCCTCAATGTCCTTCTACTCTCATTCACCGGGTGTAACACAAACTTTGATATGACACACAGACAATTTTGCATATATAGACGTACACACATATATACTTGTTTATTATTAAGAATGAGAATGCAGACTGTAAATAGTCAGGTATCTTAACCAATATGGAGAATAGAGTGGGTTGGGTGGGAGGGACACATTTGTTTCTGTGTACTCTTTTGCATGTTTTGAATTTTATTATGTGTGGATGTGTTGCTTCTTTAAAAAAGAGTTTTTAAATATTACTGAGGACACATGCAAATGTTAGGGGTATTCAGTTACCCTCAGGATTTAGATTATTTGTGCAGTGGGTACATTCTCAAATGTTTGAGTTTTAAAAATTAATGGTAATGTAGCACATTTTAGGAAGTATTTTAAAATTTGTTAGTAGTACTAAGAGGTAATTTATATTTTTGGTTTTAACACATGTTTAGACACCTGTGTCACCTACGTTGTTTTTTGTTTTTTTCCATGCAGAGGATACATGGTAATGGGCGACTCTTTCAATACTTCCTTATTCAAGCAAACTTTTCAAAGAGTTTTCACCAAAGATATGCATGGGCAGTTTAAAATGGGTTTTGGTGGTACATTAGAAATAAAGGTAAGAAGCAAAACTTGACACGTGTGGTATGTTATCAAGATAAATTTGTAGGCTTGATCATAATTTTACCTTTAATCACGTACAACATATGATTTAAAAATAGTGGTTATATTATATTGAAACCCAGTGTTAGAGATTTTGTTTATTAGAAAGATGTGTCATTATGAAATGTACAATGAAATTTTACTTGAGCATTTCTGCATAATTGCTAAAAAAGAAGATATATAGGTAAAATTTGCTTTAACTTTATTTTTTCTTTATGTAGGGTTTAACTTGTTTAGTGCATTTGATCTTTTTTAGGGCTGAATTTGCTTATGCTAGTGCTAGATTTTTTAAAATTGCAGTAATTGGTATCTAAGAGAAACCTGCTCTGTTCTACTTGAATAATCAGTAATTGGTTTTTAGTTGATAGGTTGTTGATATTTTCTATCATTCATTTCAAATTTTAATAATGCAAAGGCTTAGTGTTAGTAACAAGTGCATGGAAAGCACATTGATACTGAATTTGCATTAAATATTTCTTGCTATTTTATTGAATGCTTGCTAACTGTCCAGCATTAAGCTAAGAAATTATAGAGATCATAAGGGATATCTAAAGCACAGGTCTTCTTATAAAGAAATTTAGTTTTGATAGAAAGACAAGTTTAATAAAGAATAGATTGAAATAATAGTAGATTATGAAAGTGCTATAAAGGTTTAGGAATGAAAGGTGAATGTATCCGGGATACAATTTATCCTAGAAAATAAACAATTTTATCGTGACTTACACTGGGTTTTGAAAATGGCAGAATTTAAGTTGGTTGAAGAGAATGCATTTTAGTCAGGAGCCCAGTGTGAGGAGAGACATAGAGATGAGAATCAGCACAGTGTGTTTGGGGAAACTGCGCAGTGAGAATGGATGGTTTGTATTGGAATGTAAGGTACATTAATGTAAAGTAGTTTAATTCTGTGTGTTGGTTGCAGTTTGCAGATGCACGTGTAGGCTGAAGCAGCTATTGTAGGTTAAGGAAAAATAGAAGCTGGTGTCCATGGTTTTGAGTTAGAACATATTTTGGGTATGGTATGATATTTACTTGAGGGTGAGTTACCAAATGGAGACCTCCTCTGGGCAACTGAAATAGAGGATTAATGTTAGGTCAAGGCTAGATTTTAAATTTGGAAGTTAACATAGAAGTATTCATTGATTAATTATTTTAACATTAGTATATTTTCATTGAACTTTAAATGTGGAAGAAAATCTTTATTCTTATATACTTACAGTTGAATGTTTGAGCTTATCTTTGAGCACACCAAACTGTACCATGTTCTTATTTGCAGACCTCAAGGGAAATAAAAGTTTCAGGAGCTATTGGACCCTGTGTGTCTCTCAATTCTAAAGGACCCTGTGTGTCTGAAAATGTAAGTCACCTTTATTCTAAAAGTAAAATACAGTTTAATTCTCAGGACATAACCAACAGAGACCTGGGTGGCAGCCTATAGCATTGCTTTATAAAAATATTGTGTGGACTCAGTTTTTTAGTAGAATGTGGCTCAGCTTCTATCGGTATACCTCTGTTTGTAATTGCTCTGTCTGAATAACCCTTTTCCCACACACTCCTAAATTAAAACTTTTGTACTGTCACCAGTCTTCTATTTTTTATGCCTAAAGTGTGCCTAAAAACAACAACTATGATTTAGAAATTTGGAGACTTCTGAAAATCAAAATTAATTCTGAATTTTTTTTGTTAGTAGAATCTACAACAAAGTAAACAAATTAGACTTACGTTTCAAATCCATCCTTATTATTCCATTTAGTGGATGTATAATGCACTTAAAAATGGTAGAATTATGTACTGTTATTATAGAGAGGATTATGGGATAAATAACACAAAGTGGGTAAACATCTTTAAAATGACTGAGTTGAAAATTAATTTTAACTAGTTTACATGGTGAAGATAAATTTCTTAAAAATTTTTCTTGGGAATAAGACTGCTTAGCAGTTCTGATCCAGAGAACTTGTATTCTTTTTTTTTGAGAAACTGTATTCTTATGTGCATATATTATGTGTTAAATCAATATTTCTTTACACACATCAAATAGTTCAGTAAAAGGATCTTAGTTGTAATTACTTCATTAAATGGTATATACTTTTTTAAAGTCTTCAATAAGGAGAACTTATCAACACTTTTGTATTTACTTAGCAAAAATGTGAATTACTTTATAATTTTATTGTGTAAAAATTGCTTAATTTGATGTTATATTTCATATGATTGAATATTTTTAAGGTTTTAATATTCAATGAATTTGTTAGAAACCTGAAAGGGATGTTTTCTTACTGGAGGTTTTATTCCCCTTCTTTTCACCTTGGTATATATTATAGTAATAAATTATGTTGTCTAATTTTCAAACATATTATATATTTTATTTCTACAGGAGATAGGAACAGGTGGCACTTGTCAATGGAAGATATGTGGACTTAGTCCCACTACAACCTTAGCCATATATTTTGAGGTTGTCAATCAGGTATGACTTTTTATATTTGAATATTGAAACCTATATTTAAACAAGTACTTAATTTAGGCCATGACTTTTTCGTATTTTTTCTTCCAATAATAAATATAACCCAAAGCTTGTTTTATTTTGGAGTTTTTGTTATTTTCTGTTTTTCAAAGCTAAACTCCTTGTGAGAGGACATACTATAATAGAAAGAGATGTCAGGGAAACTGGCAAATGTCCAACCTTGTCTCTTTTTTTTTTTTCAGAGTTTAGGACTTTTAATTTGTCCCATAGCTGCTGAAGCAAAATTATGATAAAACATTCTGCTTTCCTTTATATCCCAACACACACACAAAAAAAACTATTTGTAGGAAAAAAATGGTTTTGTACACGGGAAGAAACAATATAAATTCATCTCTGCCTCCACGGAAGCCTCCTCGACCTCCAAAACCTCCCTGGCCTCTGCCACCAAATCCACCTCTGCCTCCACCACGACCCCCGAAGCCACCTTCATCCTTAGGCTTGGCCCAGTCCAAAGTAACTTTGTTTCTATCAATTTCACCATCTTCCATGGTCTCCTTAGCGGCTTTGGCACCTTCCTCACTGTTGAAGTCTCCAAAACCAAACCCTTTGGAAGAGCCCGTCTCCCTGTCAGTGACTATCCTTGCCTGGACAGAGCCATCAAATGACTCCTTCAATGTCTCTTCCGTAGTCTCCTCAGACAGACCTTTGACAAATAGAGTTTTGGATGGCTGGCTTCTTGCATTAGGCAATCCTCTGGGTCCTTGCAATTCCAGCCTGATTGCTCTGTCCTCAATTTCTCTTTTATTACAGTAATTTAAAGCTTCTTTAGCATCTTCAAATGAAGCAAATTCTATGAATGCATACCCTTTAGATTTGCCATTTTGGTTCTGGGGCACTTTGATAAAAGCTGCCTTTTCAAATACTTCCTGAAGAGTTTTCTTCTGTTGCACTGTAGGAAAGGTTGCTTAAAACCAGAGTTTTTGATTCACCACTCCAAGTGCTGTTCTTTCCACCTCTATGGTCTTGATTTTGACCTTTCTCTCCAGTATAGTACAGAGAAATGGATCGCCCATCTATTTTCTGTCCCTTGCTTTTCTTCCAAGGTTTTCTCTGCATCAGCTTCTGTCTTAAATTCAATATAAGCAATCCCTTTACTTTTTCCATCCTTGCTGACTAATCTGTGTCTTTGTTTTTAAATATAAAATGGAAGCAAAAGTAAAATCTTAAATTTTGTTCTAGTTATGCAGTTTTGTAATTTGATATCAAGCTCCTAATTGTGACAAGGTACATATATGTAATGATATATGAGTCCGACAAGAAAGTTTTCCCCCCATAATATATTTTTTAAAATATGGAATTCTTAACAAATTTGTGTGTCATTATTGCACTGGGGCCATGGTAATGTTCTGTGTATTATTCCGTTTTAGTCTGTGTGCTGCTGAAGCGAGCACAAAAAAGTTTAATATGTCAAAACACATAGAAAAAAATTACTAGGTAAAGATTCCAATATTACCGACTGGCGTGGCTCAGTGGTTGAGCATCAACTATGAACCAGGGCACATGCCCGAGTTGCGGGCTCCATTCCCTCGTAGAGGGTGTACAGGAGGCAGCCAATCTATAATTCTCTTTCATCGTTGCTGTTTCTATCTCTCCCTCTTCCTTCCTCTCTCTCTAAAAATCAATAAAGTAAAAATTTAAAAAAGATTCCAATATTTGGAAAGATTTTTTTTTGCTACAGAATGAAGTTATATTAAAGAATGATTTTTAATGTATAAATTATGATTTATATGCCACTAGTTATTAGGCATAAAATGAACCACAGACTATTAAGAATCAGCCTTTCTAACAGTTAAAGTTTGAGAAAAAGATAATGGCTGTTATTGACCAAAACAAACAAACAAAATCAAAGCAAGAATATCTATTGTCAAAGGGCATGAAGAAAGTATTTCTTTTAACTACTTGCTATTTCTTTCTGAGGATCATTACTATAATCATTACTCTCTTTTCATTAATAGTTTTCTGTTGGTCATCTGTTCATCATGTGATTATCTTCCTAAAAGTTCTGTTTTCATTTTACATACATAGGGGAGTATGACTTAGTTTAGTTTCTCTTTCCAATTACTATTAGGCAAAATTGCCTCTCCTTTCCTTATCCATTAATTTCTTTACACTTCTTCCTTAATTTCTTCTTTCATATCCTTCTGAATTATGTATTACATGAAATTGATATCCTTGGACTCACTCCTATCCTTCATCATTTTTCCCCTTTGCCAAATCCAATTCTCTTTTATGTGACATATCGCAACTGTTTAGTATGTACTGTAAAAAACACCCTTCTAATTGATATAAGAATTAATTTTATTAGTGCTCAGATATACAGCCAATGACTATATGACAACAACATAATAGATTTTGCTTGTTTTTACTTCTTTACTTTTAAACAGCATAATGCGCCAATTCCTCAAGGAGGGCGTGGTGCAATTCAGTTTGTGACTCAGTATCAGCATTCAAGTGGGCAGAGACGCATTCGAGTGACCACCATTGCAAGGAAGTAAGTTGTATTTATTAGAGATTTAATTTACATATCAACACTATTCTGGATCGTGCTCCCATAGTGGGTTCCTATTTTGAGTGATATCCATGACTGGAAAATGAACATTTATGATTAATAGCATTTTATTTCTTTCTAGCCCAGCTTATTTGCTAAAATATTCATTGTTAAGAATTATAAAGCAATTTAAAAATCTATTTCTAGGACACATTTTACAAAATATTCTTTTATTTATCTTATTCCCCTGAGCGAGGAGAAAAGCTAATATTATCCTGTTATAAACAATAATAATATATATGATGTATTATATACCTGTATAATAACTGCAACCCCTCCCCCCCACCGGTCCCGCCCGTGATCACCCCTTCCTCCAATAGGGGGCAGGGCTGGTGGCCAACTGCCTGCAGCCCCTCCCCCTGTCAGCTCCGCCCCTGATGGGCCCCAACCACCCCAATTGGCCTGCTGTCCTTCCCTCCAACTGGCTGTGCCCATGATTGCAGCACCCTACCCCCAAAAGGGGCGGGACCAGCAGCCAACCTCCAGCCCCTCCCCCCACCTGGCCCGACCCCAGGTCTGCCGCCACCCCGATAAGGGGCAGGACTGCTGGCCAACTGCCTGCAACCCCTTCCCCCAGCCAGCTCTGTCCCCGATTGTCATCCCACACCAATGTGGGTGGGGCTGGCTGACCAACCTCCCACGGCCCCTCCTCCAGCCCTTGACCCCCGATCACCCCACCCCCACCCCATTTGGGGGCACGGCCGGCCTGCCCATCACCCACAGCCCTCTCCCTATAGCTGGCCCTGCCCCCAATTACCACCTCCAATCGGGGGAAGGGCCCACTGGCCAATCGCCTGTGGCCCCACGCCCCAGCCAACCCGGCCCTGATTGGGCTGATCAGAGCAGTCTGGCTGGCCAACCTACCACTGTCTCCTCCTCCCGACAGGCCCAGCCCTGATCTGCCCCGATTGGGTCCTGGCTGGCCGGACTCCACCTGTGCATGAATTCAGGCACTGGGTCTCTAGTATTAAAATAAAAAGCTTCTGCACTGCAAAAGAAGCCATGAACAACGTAACAAGAGCCCACTGTATGGGAGAACATATTTGCCAATGATACATTTGATAAGGGTTTAATCTCCAAAATATAAAGGGAACTCATACAACTTAACAAAACAAAGACAAACAATACAATTTAAAAATGGGCAAAGGGCCTAAATAGACACTTATCCAAAGTGGACATACAGAAAGCTAAGAGACAAAATCAGCCTAAGTGCCCATCAACAGATGAGTGGATAAAAATACTATGGTATATTTACCCAATGGAATACCAGGTGGCAATAAAAAAGGAAGAACTCTTACCATTTGCAACAGCATGGATGGACCTGGAGAGTATTATGCTAAGTGAAATAAACCAGTTAGAGAAAGAGAAGTATCACATGATCTCACTCATGTGGAATCTAATGAACCAAATAAACTGATGAACAAAAATAGACCCAGAGACATAGAAGCCTGAATAGGCTGTCAAACTCAGAGGGAAAGCAGGGGAGAGTGGATGGGAAGAGATCAATCAATGAACTTGTATGCATATATGCATAACTCGTGGACACAGACAATGGGATGGTGATGACCTGGCTGGGATGGATAGGAGTAGGCTGGAAGAGGTTAGTGGGAGAAAAAGGGGGACCTATATAAATCTTTCAACAATAAAGATTAAAAAATATATAATAATAAAGTCATGCCTATATATAAAAAACAACAACAATCTAACTTTACACTTAAAGGAACTAGAAAAAGAACATACAAAGCCCAAAGTGAGTAGAAGAAAGGAAATAATAAAGTTCAGAGTAGAAATAAGTGAAATAAAGTCTAAAAAGCAGTGAAACAATCAATGAAACCAAGAGCTTTTTCTTTGAAAAGATAAACAAGATTGAGAAACCTTTAACCAGACTCATCAAGAAAAGAGAGGCTCAAATAAATAAAATCAGGAATGAAAGAGGAGAAGTAACAATTGACACTAAAGAAACTCAAAGGACTGTAAGAAAATATTACGAACAACTATATACAAACAAAATTGGACAACGTGTGTGAAATGGGTAAATTCCTGGAAACACAGTCTTCCGAAACTGAATCTGGAAGAATCAGATAATCTGAATAGATGGAGCATAACTAGTGAAATTGAAGCAGTAATAAAATTTAACAAACAAAAATCCTGGACCTGATGGCTTCAAAGGTAAATTTTACCAACTATTCAAAGAACTAACCCATCCTTCTCAAACTATTCCAAAAAATTCAAGAAGAGGAATCACAGCCAAGGTCTTTTTATGAGGTCAGCATTATGCTAATTACAAAATCAGATATAGACATTACAAAGAAAAAATTATTGGCCAGTATCCCTGATGAAAATAGATGCTAAAATCCTCAAAAAAATTAGTAAACCAGATCCAGCAATACATTAAAAAGATCATGTGGTATGCACCATGCTCACGTGGGATTTATTCCAGGTATGCAAGGTTGGTACAGTATCCACAAATCAATAAACTTGATACACCACATAAACAGAATGAAGGATGATCATATCAATAGATGCAGAAAAGGCATTTTATAAAATCTAGCACCCATTTATGATATAAACTCTCAGCGAAGTAGGAAAAGAGGGAACATACCTCATCATAGTAAAGACTATACACAAACCCACAGCCAACATCATACTCAGTGGGTAAAAACTACAAGCGTTTGCCTTAAGATCCAGAAGAAGACAGGGATGTCTACTTTCACCAATCTTATTCAACACTAGAGGCCCAGTGCACGAGATTCATGCACTGGGTGGTGGTGGGGGGTTCCCTTAGCCTAGCCTGTGCCCTCTTGCAGTCCGGGGCTCTTGCAGTCCAGGACCCCTCGCTCTTGCATTGAGCATCTGCTCCCTGGTGGTCAGTGCATATCATAGCGACTGCTCATTCTGCTGTTTGGTCAATTTGCATATTACACTTTTATTATATAAGATAGTACTGGAAGTCCTAGCCACAGCAGTCACACAGAAATAAAAGGCATCCACATTGAAAAGGTAGAAAACTCATTATTTGGAGATGACATGATACTGTATAAAGAAAGCCCTAAAGATTCCACTGAAAAACTACTAAAACTGCTAAATAACTTTAGTAAAGTAGCAGGATGCAAAATAAATATCCGGAAATTAATTGCATTTATATACACCAAAGGGAAACTAAGAAAATAAAACCTATTTATAAGTGCATTTAAAAAAAAAATTCCCTAGGAATAAATTTAACCAAGGATGTAAAAGACCTGTCCTTGGAAATTAAGACACAGAACAAAGAAATTGAATAATATAGAAATAAGTTGAAACATATAACATGTTTATGGATAGGAAGAATTAACATCATTAAAATGCCCATACTACCCAAAGCAATCTATAGATTCAACACAATTCATATCAATATATCAATAGCATATTTCACAGAACTGGAACAAATATTCCAAAAATTTGGACCAAGAATAGTCACAGCAATCTTGAGAAAAAAACAAACAAAAAAAAACAAAGTTGGAGGAATCATGCCACATAACATCAAACTATATTACAAGGCCGTAGTTATCAAAACAGCTTGATACTGGCATTAAAACAGATGTATAAATCAGTGGAACGGAATAGAGAGCCCAGAAATAAATTGCCTTTATGGTCAATTAATATTTGACAAAGTAGGAAAGAACATATAATGGAGTAACTGTAGTCTCAATAAATGGTGTTTGGAAAATTGGATATAAACATGCAAAAACATGAAACTAGACCATCTTCTCACACCATACACTCAAAATGGATTAAAGTCTTAAATGTTAGACTCAAAACCATAAAAATCCTAGAAAAAAAACATTGGCAGTAAAATCTTGGACATTTCTCATTGTGATATATATATATTTTTTTGATGTAGCACTACCAGCAAGGGAAACAGGAAAAAAGTAAATAAATTTGACTAGATCAAACTAAAAAGTTTGCACAGCAAAGGAAATCATCAACGAAATGAAAAAACACCCCACTGACTGGGAGATCATATTCACCAATGATACATCTGATAAGGGTCCATAGCCAAAATTTATAACAACTAATAGAACTCAACGCCAAAAAAAACACACTGAAAATCCAGTAACAAATGGATAAAGGACCTGAATAGACACTTTTCCAAAGAGCACGTACAGGCCAATAGACAAATGAAAAGATGCTCCATGTTACTAATTATCAGATAAATGCAAATTAAAGTACAATGAGATATCACCTCACAACTGTCAGAATGGCTGTCATCAATAAATCAATAAACAACAACTGTTGGTGAGGATGTGAGACCCCTTGTGCACATTTGGTAGGAATGCAGATTGGTGCAGCTATTGTAGAAAGCAGTAAGGAGTTACCTCAAAAAATTAAAAATGAAACTAATTGCCTTATGATCCAGCAATTCCACTTCTGGGACTATATCTGAAGACTCCTGAAACACAGATTCAAAAGAATATATATGCACTACTATATTTATTGCAGCATTATTTACAATGGCCAAGATTTAGAAGCAGCCCAAGTTCCCATCAGTAGGTGAGTGGGTAAAAAAGCAGTGGTACATCTACACAATGGAATACTAGTTGGCTGTAAAAAAGAAGGAAATTTTCCCTTTTGCAACAGCATGGATGGACCTGGATAATATTATGCTAAGTGAAATAAGCCAGTCAGAGAAAGACAAATACCATATGATTTCTTTTATATGTGGAATCTAATGAACAAAATAAACTGACAAAGAAAATAGAAACAGACCCATAGATACAGAGAACATACAGAGGGGAGGGGGTTCAGGTGCTGGGTGAAAAAGGTGAAGGGATGAAACAAAAACACACACCTCGTAGCCTGGCTGGTGGCTAAGTTGGTTGAGCGTCCTCCCAGACACCAAAAGGTGGTGGGTTTGATTCTTGGTCAGGGGACATCTAGATAATATTGGAATTTTAAAATATCGGAGTAATTTTATGTACCTTTTAAATTTAAATATGTGTGATAGCCCAACTACGATATTGTGAATATAATAATTTAGCAGCATTTCTGTGCTTTCTTCTTGTCTTTAGCTGGGCAGATGCTCAAACTCAAATCCAGAGCATTGCCGCATCTTTTGACCAGGAGGCTGCTGCCATTCTTATGGCCAGGCTGGCAATATATAGAGCAGAAACAGAGGAAGGACCAGATGTGCTTAGATGGCTAGACAGACAGCTCATTCGGCTGGTACGTAGTGAACATCATGCTTTTCTAAATCTGTATGTCTTTATCTGTAGTAAATATTTATTGCGGATAATCTTTTTTAAAGTTTTTAACAGTGTAACTAAAAGGCTGTATGAGGGTCTCCTGTTCAAGTTGCTGTAAAAGGCATATTAATGAACAGTAGAATTCACTTACCTCTTCCAATAACTAAAATGCCTTTCTTCCTTAAAATGAAAGTTATAATTATGGAACATCTTATTTCTGTTTTGGTTGATACCACATTATTTTAAGACATAATACTAATTTACTATAACTGTTTTTACTGCTTTTTTGCATATTTTTCTTCATTGCTATGGTTTTAGTTTTCTATTTTCATTTTAATGGAAATCTTTAAGAGAACTTAATTGGTATATAAAAAGTATACATTATATAACTAATTATAGAAAAATATAAGTGTCTTGATTATCTTGATCTAGATCACCAAAGTATGTGTTAGTAAAGTTATTGATAATGATGGGTTTTTAAAATGTCAGGAACTTATTGCTTACATTATGACCTAGAGTTTAAGTTCTTTTCCTAATGTTCCATGGTTACTCAACAGACTTTGGCTTATTATTTCCTTCTCAAACACCCTGGTGAGAACTCTCTGCTAAGCTATCTGATTTCTGTTTGTAAGGAGGCTTTTGTGCTCTTTGTCTCAGCTTTTCATGTAGTTTAAAAAACATTCTTGAGTGAACTAATCTTGGTTTAATAAAGTTAGCCATTTTTGTGGCATCATTTGGAACTTTTCCCCCATTTCATTTCAAAGTGTTTGTATACTAGTACCTTTGTGTGAAGAAGGCAGTATTATGACAACATCAGCATGTCTTTTTTTTTCCTAGTTGGATATATTTTATTTTTATTTGGAAAGCAAAGGCTTTTCCCAGAACTCTAGCAGAGACTTCTACTTACACCTCATTAGCTATGACTATTTCACATGATCACAAGGATTCTATAGGGAAAAAAAGGCTTTATGTGGATTTGATATTTATAGTTGGTACTAGGACATGCCATGAAATATAAGTCATTTGAAACCTTTATTAGCACAATAATTCTTTCTTTTGAAAATCTTTAAATATACATATTTAAAGTGCATAATTTGATAAGTTCTGATACATATCTGTATGTACTCATGAAAACATCACCACAGTCAAGATAATAAACATAGCTATCATAACCCAAAGTTTCTCCTGTCCCTACATAATCCCTCTCCCTTTGTACTTAACCCTTTGAGTGCCAACCAATATCCTAGGAACTATGCTAAAATTGCCAAGGCATTTTTGCTGATTTTACAGCAGTTTAGGAAAAAAATTATGAAAATTAGTTAGATAGATGCCAGTGGTCAATTTTAGAAATACAAACATTTGGCATCATAAGTAAACATTCTGCATTTAGGTGCCATCTGTCAATAAAGAGTGAACTACTAACATCTAATAGTGACACTCCAGGAGGAGTGCTATAGCGCTCTCGGACTTTTGGCGAAAGACAAGAGGAGTGCGATTGCGCTCCCTGGCACTCAAAGGCTTAAAAATAGCATGTCCTTTTTTTTTTTAACAAGAGACAAAACCTCTCATAGATCATACACCATCAGTACAAAAGCCAACACAATTCTTCCAAGACAGACCTTTTGTTTCAGATAGGAAGATAAAACATTCAGTTTATTTTTACCTTTGCTTATTTATGGCAGCAGTAAAGTTTTCTTGAATTTGACTATTATTTAGTTATTTGACATGAAATTGGTGAAACCTGTTGATTCTTTGACCTGAATAGAGAAGCTGTTATTTTTCAGCTAATTACACACACCTCTCAGCGTCATGTATCGTGTTATCAGTGTGTTTATTATATTGTTTTAACATTATGTTGTTTCAGTTTCTCAGATTGCATCTTGTCCCAGCATTTTACTTATGGTAGTTTTACTTGTCAGCATTATTAGATTCTCACCAACTGTTTGACTTTTCCTTGTCTGGGTAATAAGCTATGCTCTGAAATAGTTTGTTTCCTGAGCCTTTTGACTGAATGTTACTTTAGCAAACACTTGATTGATTTGAGGTTCTAAAAGTTGTTTAAGCAATCAGCACCTTTATTTGTCAAATGACTGTGATTCATAGTAAAGTGCTTTTTCCCTTTTGCTGGAGCTATTACTGCCTTTGTAGGTTATAAGCTATGACATAAAATTGAATAGTACAACTTGGGCTATCAGTTTATGCAAAAACCCACTGAGAAGCAGTTTTCATTGTGAAGATGGACTTTTTTTGTGTCTCTTCTTGCATAAGTTAGTGAAATGACTCAGAAAGATTATAATTCTTCAGAATTCTCTGTAGGATTATGTCTGGAATCTTTCTCTACTGTCTCACATCTCAGGTTCAAAAATTGCCATATTAGCCTTGGTGGGTGTGGCTCCGTTGGTTGGGTGTCATCTGGTGCACTGAAAGGTTGTTGCTTCAGTTCCCAGTCAGGGCACATGCCTGGGTTGCTGGCTCAATCCCCAGTATGGGGTGTGCAGGAGGTGGCCCATGGATGTCCACTTTTACTTGGATATTTCTCTCTCTCCCTCTTCCTTCCTCTCTCTCTAAAAGTCAATTTAAAAAATTACTCTGTGCCCAGCCAGTGTGGCTCAGTAGTTGAGCATCAACCTATGAACCAGGAGGTCATGGTTCAGTTTCCAGTCAGGGCATATGCCCGAGTTGTGTGCTCGATTCCCAGTATGGGGTGTTTAGGAGGCAGCCGATCAGTGGTTCTCTCTCATCATTGATGTCTATCTCTCTGTTTCTCTCCCTTCCTCTCTGAAATCAATAAAATATATATTAAAAAGTTGCCCTATTATTTGACATGCTTGTAAAACACAAACACTAATCTATACTAATAAAAGGGTAATATGCTAATTAGACCGGGTATCTTCCGGATGTCCTTCTGGACAAAGCCCTGGTGGCAGGGGCTGAGGCAGAGGTGGTTAGGGGTAATCAGGCTGGCAGGGAAGAGCAGTTAGGGGCAATCAGGCCTGCAGGGGAGGGCAGTTAGGGGGCGATCAGGCCAGCAGGCAGGCGAGCATTTAGAAGCCAGCGGTCCCGGAGTCGGACATCCTCCGAGGGATTCCTGGATTGGAGAGGGTGCAGATCAGGATGAGGGACCCCCCGTCATCCCCCTCACCCCCCATACACAAATTTCATGCACCAGGGCACCAGTAAAATATAAAACAGAACAGCCTTGTAAATAACTAAATGTGTCAGTTGCAAAAAACACAAAATTACAAAACCTTGACTATATAATTCACTTCTAATCTACACATTCTGCAGTTTGTATCAGTCACAACAGCAGCAAGGCTGTTGTGACTAGAGGACAGGTGAGTCATGGCACAATGAAAAATGTACCCAGACCTTCTGTCACAACAGTATAACTTGTCTGTTCTCATAACTCAGTTGGCAGCTGTGTGTAAGAGGAAATTGGTGGAGGGAATTTGAGAGGGAGAGGCTGATGTCAGACTGCTCCTCTGCTTTCTGTGCAAACAACAGTTATCTGTTGTCTCCCTGTGTCAAATACTGAGAAAGGAGTTATCCAGATGAACATAGTCTTACTGCATACTGCCACATGGGAATGAAATATCTATACTAATAAAAGGGTAATATGCTAATTAGACTGGATAGACCAGACATCATTCCGGATGTCCTTCCTGACAAAGCCGGGGCCCGGGTGGTGCCGCCCTGGGTCCCGGGTTCCTGCCCAGGCGAAGCTGCCCGGGGTCCCAGGTCCCGGCCTGAGCAGATGGGTTCTGGGTGCCTGCAGCCAGCCAAAGGGAGGGAAGCCTGGGTCCCTGTTGCCTACAGCTGGCCAGAGGGAGGGAAGCCCGGGTCCTAGTTGCTTGCGGCCGGCCGGAGGAGGGAAGCCTGGGTCCTGGGTGTGGGGGCCAAGGCAGAGGTGGTTAGGGGCTATCAGGCAGGCAGGCAGAGGGGTTAGGGGCAATAAGGTAGGCAGGCAGAGGCAGTTAGGGTTGATCAGGCAGGCAGGTGAGCTGTTAGGGACGATCAGGCAGGCAGGCAAGTGGTTGGTGGTGATCAGGCAGGCAGGCAGAGGGATTAGGGGAGATCAGGCAGGAGAACTGTTAGGGGCAATGAGGCAGGCAGGTGAGTGGTCAGGGGCAATCAGGCAGGCATAGTGGTTAGGGGCTATCCGGCAGGCAAGCAGGCGAGCGGTTAGGAGCCAGCAGTCCCAGATTGCGAGAGGGATTTCCGACTGCTGGTTTAGGCCCAATTCCTAGGTGTCCCAGATTGTGAGAGGGTGCAGGCCAGGCTGAGAGACCCTCCCCCCCTGCACAAATTTTGTGCACTAGGCCTCTAGTCTCTAAATAAATCGATAAAATACCCTGGCCAATTTGGCTCAGTGGTTGGAGTGTGTGCCCACAGACTGAAGGGTTGTGGGCTCTATTTCTGATCAAGGGCAAAGTACCTTGGTTGCAGGTTTGATCCCTGGCCCTGGTCGGGGCTTATGAGGAAGGCACCAATCGATATCTCTCTTTCTCACTCCCACTCTCTCTCTTTCTCTTTCTTCCTTCCTTTCCACTCTCTAAGGATCAATGGAAAAAATGTCCTCAAGTGAGGATTAAAAAAAGAAATTGCTAACAGGATAACTTGGAAACTGTCCATCACTGTGGCTGGCATGCTATGGTGTGAAAAGTTTAAAAAAAATAATTAAAAAAAAATCACAAAACCCTTAGTGACTAAGAACCCCTCATATATGATAAAAGTGGTGAGAATATGATCTTTACATTTTTTTCTTTAGTTGATTGAATCAAATTTAGTGTACAATTAAAGTGAAGCTTAAGGTGATGACAAATGAACCTTAGTTACAGAAACTATTCTAAGTAGCTAAAATAGTGCAGCCTCATTTTTTGTAATGAATCCATGCTGTTAAATTTTCAGCTATAACAGTGATAGCTACACAAATAGAGAAAGGGTTAATATTTTTCAAGTGAAAAATTTATGAAATTATACTAACAAACTTCTTTGCCTTAATTTGGCATAGTGAATATAATTTTTTTCTTAATTATTTGAGTAATGTTAATTAAAAATAAACATCTATTTAAAAACTATTTTTAGATAGTGGGCAATATATGGCCAAGTTGGTGCTGGTACCACATTTGCTTCTGACATCTTTAATACAGGGTGTTCCCCCAAAATGTATATACACTTTGAATAATTATTAATTCCAATGGGTTAAATCTGAAAAGAAACATCAATTGAGCTATAAGCTGATAAGTGTGTATACATTTTGGGGGGACACCCTACATATGCTCTTGCTCCCCTTGGTCAGCATCACTTAAGGCACTGGCATCAACACATGATTTGCCACCTCCATTCTCAGTCTCTTGTTGATCACTTTGTGTACAGCTTCATGGATCTGTTTCTTACCTTTTCTATTGAATGACATTCTCTTACAATTCAAAATCAATATTTGATTTTTTTTCAGTATTGACCTTTACTTTACCCACTAACCACTAATTGTGTTCTCCCTTTAGCTGTGCTGCTAGTCCAATGGATAAACACTTTATCTGATTAGTGTTGACCCAGGAAATTTCTCTTGTTTAAGACACTTGGGGATTTCCTTAAAAATTTTACCCAAGCCAGGTTTTTTCTTGCTATACCAGTGAGACCAAGCCCTTTTTAAAGATGACCACTTTTGCCCTAACCGGTTTGGCTCAGTGGATAAGAGTGTCAGCCTGCAGACTGAAGGGTCCCAGGTTCGATTCCCGTCAAGGGCATGTACCTTGGTTGCGGGCACATCCCCAGTAGGGAGTGTGCAGGAGGCAGCTGATCAGTGTTTCTCTCTCACTGATGTTTCTAACTCTCTATCCCTCTCCCTTTCTTCTGTAAAAAAATCAATAAAATATATATTTTAAAAAAAAGATGACCACTTTTGTCATTTTCATATTCTTATGGAATTTAGGCTTTGACCTATTTTTTTTTAATGTGGCTGCTTTGATGCATAAATAATACTGAATTAAGGATAGGACAAGCCTTTTTGCAAGTGTTATTTTTCTCAAGAACACTATTGTCGTTGCTTTATTTGCTCAATCATATTACTTTTGAATAATTCAAACAGTGGATCTTTGATATACCTTCTTTATACTTCAGTCTTTTTTTTCTCATATGATTAGTGTTTTGGTTGGGTTGTAAATAAGGCTGACTCCTCATGGTAAGTGAATACTAGGGCATTTGACAGTGTTCAGAATTTTTTTTAAGAAGTAACCCAAAAATTAAAAATTCATGTTTGTGTATGTTATACAAAGTTTACGTTGCTATCTGTGGTAAAGTACAGACAATATCATTGGTTATATATTTAATAGAATGTGAAAATTTTCATTTTTAAGAGCTCTTACAAATCAGTTAGGTTTAGGCAAAAAATGAGCAAGGATCATGAACTAGGAATTAGCAAAAGAAGAAATGTGAAGTGACTAGTAAATAAGAAAAACCAAATCTTACTTATAATCAAAGTTCTAAAATAGAATAAGACAAAAATTATCATCTGTCAAACTGATAAGAATTAGAATAGCTTGTAGGTGTATGAATCTGTACAACTTCTGTAAATATCTGTATAACCTTATATAAAGAAGGCTGCTGGTGCCATCGCTGGTTTGACTCAGTGGATAAAGTGTTGGCCCACAGACTAAAGAGTCCTGGTTGCATGCTCGATCCCTGGCCCTGATCAGGGCTTATGCAGGAGGCAACCAATTGATGTGTCTCTGACATCATATTTCTCTGTCTCTTCCACTTTCTCTAAAAATCAATGGAAAAATATCCTCACGTGAGGATTAAGAAAAAAGAACAGCAACAAAAAAAGAAGGCAGTTGGTGACATATATCAAAAACTTAAAAACTACCTTTTATCCGAAATTCTACTTCTAGGAATTTATCCTAAAGATATAACAGGACAAATATAAATGCTAATGATGACTGAATAATGCCTGACATATTGGCTTTTTCACATCTTTTCAAGGTATTAGATATTCTAGGTCAGCACTATCCAAGAGATCGGTGGTGGAAATACCTATAGTTTGCACTGTTCATATGGAACTATTACCCATATGTGGCCATTGAGCTCTTCCAATATAGAGGTGAGCAAAAGTGGGTTATAGTTGTGAATATACAAAGCAATATATCCTTGTATTACTTATTAATCAATTAATGTGTTATTTATTTGTATTACAACTATAAACCTACTTTTGCCTGCCCCTGTATGGCTAGTGCAACTGAGGAACTGGATTTTTAAAAATTTTTAATTACTTTAAATTACCACATATAGCTAGTGGCTATCATATTGGACAGTGAAGATTATTATCTTAATCTATAAGTTTCACCAGTGAAGTATAATTAGGAAACATTGAAGACTGCCAAACTCTTATTCCCAGATAGCAAGATTTGTTTTCTAAGGATTAGCTCTACAACTATAGCATTTCTATTCTTTGGATAACAGTAGGTCTGAAGTGATTTTTCATGGAAGCCAAAAATGTGATAAAATTAATTATGCCTTTTTATATGCTCTACTAGAGGCCCGATGCACGAAAATTTGTGCAAGAGTAGGCCTTCCTTCCCCCTGCTGCTGGCACAGGCTTCCCTCTGGCACCTGGGACCCAGATTGGCTTCCCTCCAGCCCTGGCTTCGTCAGGAAGGATGTCTGGAATGAGATCCAGTCTAGTTAGCATATTACCCTTTTATTATTATAGATAAGGCATAGATAAACACATAAATGATATAATACTTCTGAAATTCAAATACATTTCATTGGTTATAATAAGTCTTTTAGTAAGTCTATAAGCAATATTCCAATTTTAGCCTATATCAAATATCTGCCTCCTAAAGGATAATAGCTTTTTAAAATAGAATATGTATAGGCCACAGTCTTAATTCTATGCCAGGAATTATATTACTAACATGTCTTATTTGATTTAGTGTCAGAAATTTGGAGAGTATCACAAAGATGATCCAAGTTCCTTCAGATTTTCAGAAACTTTCTCCCTTTATCCACAGGTGAGTAGATAAAAGGTCTGTGTTCTTTGTGTTGATAATAGTGTTGGGTCTCCCTTTCCTTATTGACTTTTATTTCTCAACTTACAAAGCCTATTTATTCTTTTGGTTAGGTAAGTTTTGGGATAGCTAAGAAATTAATATTATGCTGTGAGCTGTCAGTGAAAGAAGTATATAGTATTTTTATGTTGCCCTTGCAAATAGTCATTTATTTGTGGTGAATAGAAATCTACATAAGAACCCTATTATGGAATAGAATTAGAGGTAGATCAGATTAGTTTTCTCTCTGATATAAGAGGTCTAATTACAGTGGTACCAAAAGAACTTCACCTGAAGCGATTCTACCAATCAACTAGTCTTACAGCATGGTATTAGCACCCAAGAACAGTTTTATGGAGATGTACCAGATAAATAGAAAAGAAGCTAACTTGATTTATCTTACAGAAGCTTTTCATTTGGGCAGTGGAATCTATCCCTCTATCGTTTTGATAGATATTTTTAAAATCTAGGTTATTTATATGAGTAACAGGTAACATTTATTCAACAAAGTACTATGTGCAAGGAACTTTAGGAGTATAAAGATGACTGATGGATACCATTTTCTTTATACTTCTAAAATAATTTATTTTTTCATTGCCATGACAATCAACTTTGATACTAACATTTTTGTAATTAAAGTAGGAGTATAAGAAGAGCCCTAATCTATAAGGAATGCTCACGTCCCTGAAGAAGGGGCAGGTCAGTAAGGGCCCAAATTTTCGCCGGTCTTTAAGTGGAAAGGCAAAACATCACACCTTGAAAAGAGGCTTTACTCAGCCAAAGTTAATAAGATCTCTTTAAGCCTGTTGATCTGAAGCAGTTCCAGGAAGGGGAAAAAAAGCGTCCAGGCCAGACATTCAGCAGCAGCCAGAGTTGGACTCTGTCACCAGAGTTCTGCTGGGAGGCGATGGGTGCCACCGATGTTAAAATACACTTTTGAGGACCAATCTTGATGCCATTTGTCTCATTGTGAACATCAAATAAACCCTGCTGGATCTTCCTATATATTTCTTTGGCTGTGTTAATGAAGACCTCTTCAACATTGCAGGCTGTTTCGGCTGAAGTTTCCATGAATATAAGTCCATGCTCAAATCTAGGTTATTTATATGAGTAACAGGTAACATTTATTCAACAAAGTACTATGTGCAAGGAACTTTAGGAGTATAAAGATGACTGATGGATACCATTTTCTTTATACTTCTAAAATAATTTATTTTTTCATTGCCATGACAATCAACTTTTGATACTACATTTTTGTAATTAAAGTAGGAGTATAAGAAGAGCCCTAATCTATAAGGAATGCTCACGTCCCTGAAGAAGGGGCAGGTCAGTAAGGGCCCAAATTTTCGCCGGTCTTTAAGTGGAAAGGCAAAACATCACACCTTGAAAAGAGGCTTTACTCAGCCAAAGTTAATAAGATCTCTTTAAGCCTGTTGATCTGAAGCAGTTCCAGGAAGGGGAAAAAAAGCGTCCAGGCCAGACATTCAGCAGCAGCCAGAGTTGGACTCTGTCACCAGAGTTCTGCTGGGAGGCGATGGGTGCCACCGATGTTAAAATACACTTTTGAGGACCAATCTTGATGCCATTTGTCTCATTGTGAACATCAAATAAACCCTGCTGGATCTTCCTATATATTTCTTTGGCTGTGTTAATGAAGACCTCTTCAACATTGCAGGCTGTTTCGG